AAAATTCAACCACATAAAATCAGATGGTAAATTTGAGTGGTGTATTTGAGATAGGGCTGATTTTTAAAGGCAGAAAAAAAAAATTGGATCAGGACTATCAACTTTCAGAATTGTAACTCCTGTTTGATTTTTCGTTGTCACTTCTGTTTTTCTCTCTCTTGCTCGAGCTCTATCTCAAGACAGTCTTTCTGGGTAATTCATTGTTGAAATGAGAGTGGAATCATATAATTTTATTTTGATATTACTGGTGTATTGGAGAAGCACACAACTGCCTCAAACTCCAAGCTGTTTGAAATTTTGAATGATTTTATTTTCTTAAGAAAATGGAAGAAAACTGAAACAGAGGAGGCATCTATGAATGAGCTGAAAAAAAAACCACTGAAGTTCTGGCTGCACATTCTGCTATGTGTAAACAGGACTCGGGGACTCTACCTTTTCATTCCAGACTGCTGGCTGACTGAAACCCTTTGTTCAAGTAAGACCATGTGGGAGCCACGCTTGGCATTGCCCACTAAGAAAACCTGACACCTACATGTGCTTATGACCTTTTGAAACATCTTTTTAAAAAAGTTTAGTTTTTATACTGAATATCAATTAACAAAAGCAACACATAATAATTATTATACTATAATGATAGCAAACAAGTCATCTAGAACCACTCAAGGAGAAATTAGAAAGTCTCAGGTAAGCACAAAATAAAATATCATAATATTGATAGACACACACTACTACAATTGATTTGTATTAGGAAACTGACATCAGCATGTTAGATTATAACTTCTTATGCATCAGAAACAGTCTTGAGCCTACTGTTTATAATAGTCGTTTTTGATAACAAAAACGCATACTGAAGTTCTAAATGTACCCCTTATGTAATATTTCTAAATCTTGCTAATAAGAAAAGCCTTTTTGATAGTACTTTCTCTCCTTCTCTCTCTCTCTTTTTGAAGTTTATCTCTTCCCATTCACTGTTAATTTACTTACCTCTGAACCAGCAAAATTTAAATGATGTTCCGTTGCAGGACTAAGTGCTGTCAGACCTGACATTTCACTTTCTATCTACAGAAAATTTGTGCAAACATTTAAGATCATGATTCCAGTGGGATAGTAAAATTTGTTGGAAAGGTTTATTAATTGGAAATGCTTTTGAAGAACACTGAGAGTCAGAATTTAGGGACATTAATTTCAAAGATGGAATTAGCATAGGCTCAGGAAATGTTTCTTTTATTTCCTTCCTTTTTCAGACCATTTACACTTTAATTGTTTTTATCATATAGAATCTATCTTGTTGCAGAGATTTAACTGAGAGTTTTGACCCTGAAATATTAAACATGTACAAAATATTCCAAGTAGGAATGGAAAATCTCACATGCTTTATGATAACAAGTACAGAAGGTATACAGTATAAATACTGCAGCAAAGATGTTAAAGCAATGCACAATTAGAAGATTTCGATAAAAACATTATAGATTATTTAAGTGAAAACCATGTTAAATTTATTTCTTCAGGACTTTAGTAATTTGTGTTTTTAAGTGTTTTTAAAAAAATTCTTGTGAGGTAACAGTGATACTTCATGAAATCTATCCCTTTTTATGTACAATACATAGCACGCACACACACACACACACACACACACACACACACACAGTCAAAGTCAGTGGCAGTGGGTGGTTTATGTCAGGGCTGCTTTTGACGCCCCTCTCCCGGAATAAGATAAATGTAAGTGATGAAGAGCTCCTGGGGCTGGTTGAACTCATTTTGTATTCAACACTCTGCCTGGCCCCTTTCTCATCTCTTTCTTGCTCTCTTTGTATGTTCAAGCCTACTTGAGTTTCTTTTTTCTTTTGTAGAACTTTGTTCTTTTGATGTGTTTCAGGGCACGCCCTGTGGCAAAGAGAACTTCCCAGGAATCGGAAACATCAGCACAGAGGTCTCAAACAGTCACTGTGTAATAGAAAGATTCGGGCCCAGAAGCTAGGTTTTCTCTCTCCAAAACAGCATCAGAATACATAAGAAGAACGCAAACATCCAATACAGCCTACACAGACGATTGTATTAAAGGAACACATACAATGAAATTTAAATGCCAAGTAGGCATTTGGTGAGATTTTTAACCAGGATTGAGCCCATGAGAGTAGTTTAACTTGAAATGTGTCTATATGCATTTGCACATTTGCTCGTTTAACCAAATTTCCCCTATAATTATAAATTATCTTGTTTCACTGCTGTTGTGGCATCAATGTATCTGCAATTTTTTCCATGGCCCATGGTCCTATTATAAGATGATGTGAGAAAGTGCAGTGCTTTAACTTCCTATTTATTTATTTATGAAGTTGAGCGAAATGCTGCTGTAAGTATTGTAAAACTGGTTAGAAGGCATCATCTCTATTAGTAACAGAAAATCTAGATAGAAGTTAATTATTTTATATGCTATATCAGTATTTCTATTTTCATAGATTAAAACTATTTAAATAAATTGTGTTATGTTTTATTTAAAATATCTCTGTTTACTCACATATTATACTTTATGTGGCAAATCTTTCAGGACTATGTCACTGAATTAGAACTTGGAACTGAAAATAAAAAAAAAAAACAGAAAATAAGGAAAAACAGTGCAGTTTAAATTTACACATATACCAACTTATCAACTTAAGACCTTCAAATAAGTTAAATTCAACTTTACTCAAGTTTCTAAAAGAAGCCTTTTATTTATAAAATCAAAACAGTTGGAAAAGCAAACTTATTTATAAAATTGGTAATTTATTCATTCAGAAAACCAATCTACATTAATTAGGTGTATTGTTGACTTCTGTATAAAGGAATTCATTCGCCTACTGAAAAACAGAATGCTACTAACTGAATAATAGATTTAGGAAAAATCTGACCAGCAAACAGTTGATTATTTTCAACTAAATTAGATTCAGTTTAATAAATGTATTGAACACTTTATGTGTGTGCTAATGACATTATCTACTGATTTCTAGGAAAATAATTAGTGATATCACTGAATTCATTCAGCATTTTCCAACATATTTTATACTTAAATGGCAAAAATCAACCAATTGCCACAGTTTCTTTTAACTTTGGTCTTTATATCCACAGCTTTAAAGAGAGAGAGCAAGTGATTTCTGAAATGATTCAGTTATTCATATATTAATAAAATGCAAACTTTTAACAATAATATGGGAGGATAATTTTAACAAATTGGGAATTCTATAAAATAACTTTTATAACCACAATATCTCTTGAGTGTTTTCCACATGTATCTGGGTTACTATTTGTAAATATTTGTATAAATATCTATAAATAACATAAAAATTTTTTGATAATAGTACATACTGGAGACTCACGAAACATGTTTAAATGCTACCAGGAAATTTTAAGGGGGCTGTTTTATTTAAACCAAAACCAAATCTTAAAATACAATACAAAAATACATAGAAGAGTGCAAAAGAAGGACTCCTATCTTTCTGATGCATATATACTAATTCTGCACCTTTACTTATTGTTGGATAGCATTTCTAGAAACTGGATGCTTCCAAAGTATTTGATCCTAAATTTGATAAGGTACACAGATGCATAATGGACATCGCAACACTTCCCAGCTTTACGGCAGTGACTGCATATAGGGGCCATGTAATGTCCTCCTCCGGTTTATAAAGGTCATGGAAAGTCACAGGTTTTGAAGGAGCGGCACACAGTGGCCCCAGTTACTCATGGCACGGCACATCAGTTGTCACGTCATATATTTTAATGGTGCTAGAAATCCTGTTTTTCCATAGTTGCAGTTGTTTTCTCCCTCTCCTGCTTTTCTGCATAGGTGGTATTTGACCTACAAATGGCATAGAAGTCTGCTGTGCCAGGTATCTGACTCACGTGTACTGTTTATTAACCCCAAACCAGGAAATACAAGTGCTTTTTACTTTTAAAAATTATGCAAAATTTAAGAGAAATTGAGCCTTTTCAGATGGACTGACGAGTTCCAGCCTTAGCAATGTTTCTGTTTATTTGACTGATGACAAAAATAAGACTTCCTTAGTGTCTCACTGAACATTTTTCCAGCCATGTTTATAGTAAACCACTTGGAAAAAGAGACACCTGTGAATTTTTCTTTTGAAACAAAAGCAAGACATAGCAACTGATTAGAAATTAGTTGACTGAATTCAATCAGACTTTAAATTAAACTTTTAATTACAATAAAGAGTTAACGGGTATACTGGAGACACCACACCAACCCAAATCATACTGATTAGTTACTTTTATTGATTAAGGTTACCAGATAATCATACCATCTCTATTTTACTACTAGAATTGTGAAATGATTCATTTAAAAAAATTTTAGTTATTAGCTAGCTTCCAAATATTTATTTATTTAAAATAAGTAGTTACTTGGCCTGATTGACTATTTTCTACTCTTTTGTTTCTATTTTACCCACCCCCCACAAGTCTATGTGGATATTATCTAAATATTTTTCTAGAAGAACAATGGGCTGATGTTCTGTACAGTTTCCCCTTGGGCTCACTACCATTTTTTTTTAAAGATGTTAAGGATCATCAATCAATATTCCAAACTCTTATTTTAGAAAGGAGGCAGTCTTGGGGAGTTTACATGAGTTTCATCACTCAGATATAGTGCCACAATAGGACTTAATGAAGATGAAAGATTGATGGAGAGTCACAGAAATACAATACCGCAGTACTTAAGACATTGCATTGCAATGATTTATTTAGAATAATAAACTTTTATAAGCATCATCTCATAGATCCAAGAACACTATGAGACAGGAATCTCAGTAGATCCTAATGATTGTATAAACTATTTAACGGGCGAAATAACAGAGTCTGAGGATCATCAAATGGTTTGGCCAAGACCCAACAGCTGAGCAGTGGAAGAACTGAGATCTGAACTCCTCCCATTTTCTGACTTCTGAGCTTGGTGAGTAACCACTGCACATTGCCTGTAACCTGTTTTTCTTTGTTGTTCTTTTCTCCTCTCTCAGGTAAAAATCAGGAGCTGTTGTTATTAATCTTCATAAGCCCAGGATGCTTGGGTGATATAAGAGTGTTCAGTGAATGGTTGCTGCAGGAATAAACCCAGGATCCAGCTAACAGGTTCAGCTCTCTTTTCTACACTTCAGTCCATTAGGAGTGTAGGAGGTAGGATTTGAGAAGACAGAGGAAGACTGAACTCTCTAAGGTATAGAAATACTTCAAACCACTTTAAGAAAGCTTATTCTACATTGTCAGTAAGAGCAATTCTACTTCTTGAATGCAGCTTAATGAGGACAGAATTTGCTGGCGGTTTCCTGATGCAATTGATGCCTAAATACTCCATATCATGTGCACAACACATGGTCTATACATGATTTAAACTTGACCTGGGGAGTCCAGGGGCTTCCCAGCTGGTGCTAGTGGTAAAGAACCCACCTGCCAATGCAGGAGACATAAGACACACGGATTCCATTCCTGGGTCAGGAAGATCCCCCGGAGAAGGAAATGGGAGCCCCCTCCAGTACTCCCGCCTGGAGAATCCCATGGACAGAATAGCGGCGGGCTACAGTCCATGGGGCCCCGAAGAGTCAGACATGACTGAGACAACTTAGCAGCAGGCATGCGGGGTCCATCAGTCAGTCCTGAGGCTCTCCCCACTGAGTCTGCACCATGGTCCTGGGCTTTGTAGGGGGTTCCTCTAGCCATGGGTCCACACTGGTTTTCTAACAAGATGTCTCAGGTGAGGGCAGGGGCCCTGTCATGTCCAAACGCTCTGCTGTTTCTGTCCTTGCCTTAGAAGTAGGGTTATTTGGAAAGACTGGTCCCACACGATGGAGCCTCTGCTCAGAGCCTCTTTCACTGATGGCTCCCTCGCCCCAACCCATCTCTTCTCCCTTTTTGTATTCTGGGGAAATTTTTGGTCCCTTTCCTTCTTAATGTTCTCGGAGTAACTCCCTGGCATCTCTGCCTCTCCAGACCTCTTAACATCATCTCTCTGATAACTTTAAGTTTGTACCAAAGGCAGAAAAAGCACCTGCTCTCCAGTTTGCAAAGAAATATAAAGGGCTTGGCTCTGAGCTTGGAGTCAGGAGGAAGGGAAAATTGCAGAAAGTAGAACATAAATTGGTATTTCCAAAGTATCTTACCACAGTGCTTTTTGAAATAGTGAATAAGTGTTTTTGACACATTACCGCTATCGTAAAATTATAATCACTAACTTGTAGGGGACTTTCTTTGCATCTTTCCAAGGGCAAATCACCTTGGCATCTTCCCACCTATAGCTACCAAGACATTTCTCTGCAGGGCTTCTAGGAAAGGCAGCTCACAGCTCAGTTGTATCACAGGCTTTCTGACTTGGATGAACTCTTTACATTAAAACTTCTAGAAAGAGATGTTTGGCTGAAAACTATGCATTGGAAGTAGGAAACCTTTTTTGTTATAAAAATCTCAAAAAAATAGTATGTCCTTTGACATATAAGTGGAATTATAATGATATAATAATAATTCATTGAATCTGAATGGCAACACATACCCTTTAAAAAACTGCAGTAGAGTTACTTTTAATGTGGTATTAGTTTTTGCTGTACAAGGAAGTGAACCAGCTATATGTGTACATATATCCTCTCCCTTTTGAGCCTCCCTTCCACACACACCCCCATCCCACGCATCTAGGTCATCACTGAGCTGATCTTCCTGTGTTACATAGCAGTGCCCACTTGATTTTACACACGGCAGTGTATATATGTCAATGCTACTCTCCATCTCACCCTCCCTTCTCTCCTGAAGTCCTTCCATGTCCACTTGTCCATTGTTTACATCTGCGTCTCTACTCCTGCCCTGCAGATGGGTTCACCTGTATCATTTTTCTAGATTTCACATATATGCATCACGTAGGGGACCCAAGATTGCTGGGAGAAATATCAATAACCTCAGATATGCAGATGATACCACTTTAATGGCAGAAGGTGAAGAGGAAATAAAGAGACTCTTAATGAAGAAGGTAAAAGAGGAGAGTGAAAAAGTTGGCTTAAAATTCAACATTCAAAAACCAAAGGTCATGGCATCCAGTCCTGTCACTTCATGGCAAACAGATGGGGAAAAAGTGGAAACAGTGCCAGATTTCATTTTCTTGGGCTCTAAAATCAATGTGGATGGTAACTGCAGCCATGAAATTGACAGCCACTTGCTCACTGGAAGAGTAGGACAAATCTAGACAGCATATTAAAAAGCAGAGACATCACTTCGCTGATGAAGTTCTATATAATCAAAGCTATGGTTTTTCAGTAGTTGTAAATGGATGTGAGAGTTGGACCATAAACAAGGTTGTGTGCCAAAGTATTGCTTTTGAACTATGGTGCTGAAGAAGACTCTTGAGAGTCTCTTGGACTGCAAGGAGATCAAACCAGTTAATCCTAAAGGAAATCTATCCTGAATATTCCTTGGAAGGACAGGTGCTGAAGCTGAAGCTCCAATACTTCAGCCACCTGATGCGAAGAACTGACTCCTTAGGAAAGACCCGGATGCTGGGAAAGATTGATGACAAGAGGAGATGGGGCGGGGGGAACAGAGGATGAGATGGTTGGATGGCATCACTGACTCAATGGATGTGAGTTTGAGCAAACTCCAGGAGATAGTGAAGGACAGGGGAGCCTGGCGCGCTGCAGTCCATGGGGTCACAAAGAGTAAGACAGACGTAGTGACTGTTTAGTAGGATAACAACCTTTCCCAAGTGCATGCCCTTGAAGGCTCCTTCGTTGCCCTGTAAGTCTCAAATCGAATGTTACTGCCCAGGGAGGCCTTTTCTGACCACTCTATCTAAATAGGTTCCTCCCTTCTCTATCCTTGACTTTATGTCTTTCAAAATTCTTTCACTACCTGTATCTGGCGGTGTGACCAGCAGAATTCTCGGATGGCCTTCACAGACCCCACAGGGGGCTGTGAGTTCCGTGCGGTCCTCCCCCCGCGTGTAGGCGGGACCTGTGACTGGGATGGATGGGCTGTCACTCCTGTGGGTCGTGGTCAGATACCTTAGAGGCAACCCAAGGTCGGATGACCTGGTGAGAACTGACCTCATCAGGCGAGCCCTTAAAAGGGACCCGGTGCCTCCAGAAGTCAGAGGGAACCCGTAAGCGTGGCCGAGTAGAAAGGAACTGGGGCAGTAAGAACTGATTCTCCGAACAAGGGAACTTGGGAGGGAACCCTGGCTCCGGAAAGGAGTGCCGCCCAGTCCGCAGCTTTATTCCAGCCTTGGGAGACCCCGAGCAAACTCAAACACGCTCCTCTAAGGCTTTTCCCGTACAGATGTTTCCACATTATCGCCTGAAACTAAGCTCATAAAGGTGAAACAGTCTATATACGATTTCACGTGAACTCCTGCTATTATTTGAGACTTGCAGCGGAGGACACCATACTCCTATTCCTATGTGAATCATATTATTTTCATATCTCAAAGTTAATAATATTTACAGAGGTCGAAAAGAAGTCTGTACCTACTCACCTGGTTATAAGAAAGATAATAAAAATATTAAAGAAATGCAGTAATTTTATTTTAAAAAATTATATCAAGCACTAAAGGTAAATTTGAAATGTTATGTTATTGCGGATTTATTGATACTTATTTAAATAAGTGTCAAGTTTAAGTTTAAATTACAGGAGGAAATCCTTTAGCAAAAATCCTTGTGCAGCTAGCTTTCAGATTCTGTCTTCTTTTCTCTTGTCATTTTTCACATAATGGAAACCTGTAATTAAAGTGGAGATTAAATATATTGCATATGGTTTCCTTCTGAAAAGTATATATGTATTATATACAAATATAAATCATTTAGCCATAGTACAATTTCCCTAAAGCATTTTTCTTCAAAAATTTCTCTTGGTTTTGAAGTTTTTCATCTGTTACAGACATGCTACCATATACTAAAGTAGTACTGTATTATGAGAAGAAAAAAGTTATTTTCATGATACTGTTCAGAATGTCTAGGATTAAATATATCGTAACTATTTATGATTCTGATCATTATAATCTTAACTATTTCTCTCCATATCAAAACTGCCTTATATGAAAAATATGTCACTGATATTTTAAATTCAATAAATTCTGATCTACTGGGTCATTAGAATCTTTTCTAAAGTAAATAAGATTGTAATAATAGTGGGATATTTTATGAGAGCACTTAAAGATGATGAATCAGGAACCATGTAAATGACTAGTTCTTCTTGTCCACCTCACAGTCTTTTCCTACTGAAGTTTTCTCCCAAGTTGCGCTGCAGTCCATGGGGTTGTGAAGAGTCGGACAGAGTGACTGAACTGACTTCCATTCTCAAAGAATATCCTAGTAGAACAACAGATGCTGGGAGTTGTAAGGAAAGGAGGGGGATGGGGAGAAAAAATAAAAGAAGAAACGGGCCAAGCACAATTTAAATGCTGAGGGAGTGTGCCACATTACTTAATTTGAGCTGCACGATGCAAAACAAAACAAAAATTATCCGCAAGTTGGCAAAGCCTGCCAAAAGTAAAAGGCAAGGAAGAAACTGCGTTAGCGAGCAACACATTTAAGACACGCTTGTCGAGGTGCTTTGAAGAAAGTGAGTTGAACGACCCCCATCCTCAAGCATAAATAAACTCCAAACAGACTCATTTGCCACGAAGGGTGAATTGTGGAGGTGCGTGGCGCCTGGGTCTCTGCCTCTCCATGGCTCCTGTCCCCAAGTCGTTCTGGTGGGTTTTTGTGTCCCAAAGTTGTCCCTATGCAAACAACAGGTTGAATATTGTAGGTGTGGGTTATTAAAGTGTCCCTGGGACAATGGCAGTCTGTGTCCCATTTGTAACGCTTGGATTAATCTTTGGAAAGTGCACACAAAATGTGACATGATGTTGGCTTCCAACATTATTCAGTCTGCATAGCAGCAAATCCTGCCCTGTCTCCCTGGAAATAAAACTCCACAGACGTATCACTGCCATGTAAAAAGGAACCTAACATTCATGCTTGAGGTTAGGGACACCCTGATACAATTTCTTTTAGGAGTTTGATTTTATAGTTTGGAGAGACACTTATGAGGAAAACAAGTTATAGTCTATCATCTCATTCACAGCCTCCCTAAGGAAAATCTGCAATCGGGTAAATTATATAATTATTTTTCTGTAGATGGGAAAAATCAGAAAGCCTTTATCTTTTAAAGAGAATTCCACTTTAGTGTAGAATGAGAACCAGAACTGGTCCCTGACAAAAGGCAGGATTCTTGGTATTTCTCCTTTTCCCAACTCTTTTTCCCCTTTTGATTTTAAAGGCTCTGGAGGAGAGCCAAGATGAGAAAACTGTGTGAGCAAAGTGTGCCGAGGAGAGATGGTATTCATCATATTTGCCTTCCTTTTTCCTGCATCCTTTGAGTTTCTGAAGCTTTGAGGTTCAGCCCCATCTCATTGTTCATCAGAAAATTCTTTTTCGAATTATATGTCCTGTTCACAGAAGTACTCTTTAGCATTATGGAATTTGGAAAGATGGTCTCTCAAATCATTTGTTTTTAAGTGCACCTCAATGTTATGATTTCAGAAGATGATTAGAACTAGGATAGTAGAAATAGAAAAGGCACGTCAAATTATAGACAACCATCAATAGTGGTTGAAATTTCCATTGAGCCAAGTTGGAAAATATTCTGTCTCATTTATGACCAACTCAACACATAGGAGAAATCAGAAGTTGCTTAACAAAATGGAATTCAGGAGAAAAAAATGTCAGGGCATTGTTTTAGAACAATGGCTTTTAAAGTGTGTTACAGATGAATGTCTTTATTTTTATTATTCAAATAGAATCCAGTTACTCCAACTGTAGTTTTTTTGGTCTCACAGGGAAATAAAGCATGATCAAAACAGGTTAGGAATAGCTTCCTTCACATTCTGTGGTATAGATATTTTCTTATATTACTTTTGCATGTGGTCCATCTTTTCATCAAAATAAGCTGAATGCTTAGACTTTGGTCTAGAACAGTTGACAAGTTTCCTCATTTCTTGCCTTTTAATAAGTAAATTTCACAAATTTTAAGTTGCAAAATATGTTTAAAATACTTCTTTGATTTTTTTTTGGTATATTAGAAATCAGCATAAGATTTTATTTGGAAAATAATATAATTTCCACAGGGAAAAAGGTTAAAACAGTAATTATAAAAGACTATAGAATACCAGACCATCTGATCTGTCTCTTGAGAAACCTGTATGCAAGTCATGCAGCAACAGTTAGAACTGGGCATGGAACAACAGACTGGTTCCAAATAGGAAAAGGAGTACGTCAAGGCTGTATATTGTCACCCTGCTTATTTAACTTATATGCAGAGTACATCATGAGAAACGCTGGGCTGGAGGAAGCACAAGCTGGTATCAAGATTACTGGGAGAAATATCAATAACCTCAGATATGCAGAGGACACCACTCTTATGGCAGAAAGTGAAGAGGAACTAAAGAACCTCTTGATGAAAGTGAAAGAGGAGAGTGAAAAAGTTGGCTTAAAGCTCAATATTCATAAAACTAAGATCATGGCATCTGGTCCCATAACTTCATGGCAAATAAACGGGGAAACAGTGGAAACAGTGGCTGACTTTATTTTTTTGGACTCCAAAATCACTGCAGATGGTGATTGCAGCCATGAAATTAAAAGACGCTTACTCCTTGGAAGGAAAGTTATGACCAACCTAGATAGCATATTAAAAAGCAGAGACATCGCTTTGTCAACAAATGTCTGTCTAGTCAAAGCTATGGTTTTTCCAGTGGTCATGTATGGATGTGAGAGTTGGACTATAAAGAAAGCTGCACACCGAAGAATTGATGCTTTTGAACTGTGGTGTTGGAGAAGACTCTTGAGAGTCCCTTGGACTGCAAGGAGATCCAACCAGTCCATCCTAAAGGAGATCAGTCCTGGGTGTTCATTGGAAGGACTGATGCTGAAGCTGAAACTCCAATACTTTGGCCACCTCATGTGAAGAGTTGATTCATTGGAAAAGACCCTGATGCTGGGAGGGATTGGGGGCAGGAGGAGATGGGGATGACACAGAATGAGACAGTTGTATGGCATCACCAACTTGATGGACGTGAGTTGGAGTAAACTCCGGGAGTTGGTGATGGGCAGAGAGGCATGGTGTGCTGCGATTCATGGGGTCGCAAAGAGTCGGACACGACTGAGCGACTGAACTGAGCAGATAGCTAAATTACATATACCTTGCTTCACAATTTACCTAGAAGAGGTGGAAAAAAAAAAATCTATGAAACCGGAAGTCCAGTGCTTTGAAGGGCTTCGCTGGAAGAGGAGATGGGGCAGAGGATGGAGAAGTGGCTTCTCCAGTGGGGCACTGGTAGGGAGCTCTGTGAATCCTCTCCTCCCCTTGCCCGTTCACTAAGATTGCATGGGTCACAAATGCCCTTGTTATATCAACTCTAAAAGAGTGTGTTGCTTTTTTCTGCTGTGCCTTCCTTCTTGGGCTTTGTTTTTCGCCTGCAATATGACTACTTGGATCTGTAGAAATGGCTGCATTGATTTCTACTGTTCTGATGGTCACTTTATTCAGCATCTAGAGGGGTGTGTGTGTGGAAGGGGTAAGGTAGGGCTGCCCAGCATGATTTTTGTCCTGGGGTGGGGCAAAGGTAAAAGGAGAAGTGTTGAGAGTAGTGTTGATGGGGAAGAAAGTGAAAACAGTTTTCCCTTTTCATCCTTGGGATGTCAGATGAAACTCAAACTTACAGGAAGATGGTTTAATTTGATCAACGGGGTCAGCTGTTAGGAACACTTAGAGGCAATGATGTGTGCATCACATAAAATCACCATCAGCAGGAACAAGTGTTCTCAGTAAACACTGAGAGGTTAGAAAGAGTAATGAACTAAAAATTGTTCACTTTTGCTGAGCAAAGCCTGTCTTTTTCTGAAGATTTGGGCAGTATATTATTAGGAGGTATAGTAAGACTTTAAATACACTATGAAACACTGAAAATAATGTGGACAGAATATACTCATTTCTTTTCATTTTTATTTTCATGAACTAAGAGAAAAACAATATACCCTAAGACCACCTAGTGTCAATGTTTTGGAAAGTACACTGTGTCAGCTCTAACATACAGGTTTTGGAAACTTCCTCGTAAAGACAGTAAAAAATAAAATAACCAATGAATTTAAACGTCAGCCTTATCTACCACTAACGAGAAGAATAAAGTACATTTAAAATAATGTTTTTAAAAGACAGCTTGAGAGTATTAAGCAAAATACTATTTCTTATACAAGACTGAAATCAACGAAGCTAAAATCTCAACAAATGGTACCACAGCGCCACCATCTGGCCATATAGAAGACAGCAGGTAGTCACAATGTGCTAATCCTGCTGCAGCTAAATCGCTTCAGTCTTTTCCGGCTCTTTGTGATCCTGTGAACTGTAGCCTTCCAGGCTTCTCTGTCCATGGGAATCTCCAGGCAAGAACACTGGAGTGGGTTGCTGTGCCTTCCTTCAGGGGATTTTCCCGACTCAGGGATGGTACCTGCCTCTCTTAAGTCTCCTGCATTGGCGGGCCAGTTCTTGACCACTAGCACCACCTGGGAAGCCCCATATTAAAAATAAAGGAGCACAAGTTAGTGTTTTCTCTTTCCTAAAAAGAGACTGGAGAAAGGAAAAGAAGGGACTCTCGGAGAGTACCTCTACATTTGTCACTAATGGCAACTTAGAGCTGAGGATCGATGCTTTTGAACTGTGGTGCTGGAGAAGACTTAAGAGTCCCTTGTACTGCAAGGAGATCCAACCAGTCAATCCTAACGGGAATCAGTACTGAACATTCTTTGGAAGGACTGATGTTGAAGCTGAAGCTCCAATACTTTGGCCACCTTATGTTAAGAGCTGACTCATTAGAAAAGACCCTGATGCTGGTAAAGACTGAGGGCAGGAGGAGAAGGGGACGACAGAGGATGAGATGGTTGGATGGCATCACCGACTCAATGGACACGAGTTTGAGCAAACTCAGGGATATAGTGAAGGACAGGGAAGTCTGTGTTTGGGGTCGCAGAGTCAGACATGACCGAGTGACTGATCGACATTAGCAACTAAACTACAACTAACCTCCGAGGTCTGTGGTGTCAGAAACTGTCCTGATCTTTTTTCTGTTTCTATTTAAAATTGAAGAATGAACATATTTTTAATAGATCAAATCTTAAAAGATGAAAATCTCCCTAATGTTAGAGGTCTTTCTTTTCTTTTCCTTTATTTTGACAGAAATAGAAAGACTTTAAAAAAAAAAATTAAAGTGTTAAAAGCCTTTAATTTCAGTGAGCTTCCCTGGTGGTTCAGTGTTAAAGAATCAGCCTGCAATGAAGACATGAGTTCGATTCTGGGGTGGGGAAGATGCCATAGAGAAGGAAATGGCAATGAGACTTGAATTCGATTCTGGGGTGGGGAAGATGCCATAGAGAAGGAAATGGCAACACACTCCCATATTCTTTCTTGGGGAATCCCATGGACAGAGGAGTCTGGAGGGCTACAGTCCATGGGGTCCCAAGAGTTGGACATGACTTAGTGACTAAACCACTACCAACCAGAAGAGCATTTTTTTTTTAAGTGTTAAAAGCCTGTAATTTTAGTGTTAGTTTGGTAGAGC